GCTGCTGCTTTGACTTTGCTAATTGGGGAACGCTTTTTGCCATATGATGATGAGTTTGATCCCACTGAACTGCTGCTGTTCGATTTCGAGATCTATGCCAAACAAAATTGGAACAATATCCGCAGAAATACAAGAAACCATGTGCTGTGAAAAAGATCGCCTTTTTTTTCTTTCTTTCTATTTTTTTTTTTCAATTGTTATTGATGCAGGAAAAAAGGGAAGAAGAAAGATTGGGGTTCACAGATTTTGTTACCTCAATTTTGATCTTGCCCGAGGAACGAGGGGAACGCAGCTCCTCTTTGCCGTGCGCAAACTGTTCCAATTGAAATAAATATCCCAATTAGAACGAAATAAAACACGATTTTTAGGTCTTTTTTCTATTGTTATTTTTATCCTCAAAAGTCGTGCGTAGTAAGACTGCCATCGACCGTAGGGAAGATGAGAACCGTTGGATCTAGAGAGAGAGAGAGAGAGAGAGATTGACCTGGCAATCGGAACCAAATTGGCATATTCCACCAGTCTCCCAAAAACGGCAGGGCTTATTCCTGTGGTATTTGATGTTCTCAATCCCGGTGGCTCTAACGCCACTGCCCGGCGACGGCGACCTGTAGCCGGTGAAACTGCAATTGACGGAATTGGATGGAGTCAGCGGCGACCTCATTCTGGCGTCTCCGCTTCCTTTACTGGACTTTGGCACGGGAATTCCGTCCATAACAATGACATCCTCCTCGACCTTCACCGGCGAAATGAACGGCGTCCTTGAAGCGGCGGCGGCGGCCGACGGATCGGCGCATCGCAGGTATTTCATCAGTGGAGATGGAGAGTTGGAGCTGTCGGACGCGTATGGATCGAACATCGTGTTGTATCGGCGGCCGGAGAAATTCAGCGCGTTCAAGGGTGAGAGTGCGCCGTCGAAGGGCTTGAACTTCGGAGCTTTGAAATCGCGCTGGTTTTCCATTGAAATTGCCTGCGATTGCAAATTGCAATTGATTATCTAACCTAAATTCAGATCACATTCTACGCCGGACATTTTCACTGCGAACGGAAATTTCAAACCTTTACCGAGAGAATCAGAAGGAATTATGCAGAGAAGAAGAATTCACAAAAATAAGCGATTCGCAGACGGAAATTCAAGCAATACTCGTTAATCTAAAGCATCTGCATAAACACCGCCGTTTCTAGGGTTCCAAAAAAAAACTGAAGCAAACAGGATAATTCAAAATTCAGTAGAAAACACGAAAATGAAGAATCAAAAGCATCATTTTTGCGAGAAATCAGCGCGCACAGTGAAGCGAATCGGTTGAAATTTTAGCAGACGGAGATCAAATCCTCACCGATTGAAACACAAGTTCTAATTAATTGAAGGAAAACAGCGCAAACACAAATTCGCATCATCGAATTGATCTTACCTAAGATTGAGAGCTTATAGTGTAGCTGAGATGAATCAATTTGAAGGCGGAAACCAGATGATCGGAAGTGAGGAACTCTGCCTTTAGTGCAGAGCTTTTGCTTGTTCGCCCCTTCGCTTTTGCGCCATAATTTGAACCGGTGGTCCTAACCATGCCCAGTTTTTATACTGCTTTGTTACAGTGGAAGGTGGAGGACTAAATAATAATAATAACTTTTCGAAATTGATATTATTTTACTAAGTATAATATTAATATTCTTCATCGGATTTTTAATTTTAAGTATGATATTAATATTCTCCATCAATTTGGTAGATATTCTACAAATTATCTTGCATAGGATAATTTGGTAGCACCGTTTCTTTATTTCTCTTTTTGTTTCTTAGTTTTCTACAGTATTTTAAAACCCGGACTAGACCGGCCGATTGAACCAGCTTAACATTGAGCCGTTGCATTGTCCAATTGAATCGTAATATCAGTTTGACCGGTTCAATCATAACGGTTGACCCCTGGTTGGACCGTGACCCAGTAGCTTGTACGGGTCAATGTCCGATCTGGTGTTTAAAACATAAATTTTCTTGAAGTAAAAAGATTATTTTTTTCTTTTTTAAGAAATCTTAAATTAGCCTTACAAGTTGTTTCTTATATTTAATCTCAATACTAATTAATTAATACGAACAAACTAATAGTAACAAGTACAAAAAACTACAAACTTTTATTGAACATTCAAATGGCAAACATTCTGAACGTTCTGCAAAGAACCTACACAAGTTTCAACAGCAAGAAACTCATGCATCAACAAAATCCATTAATACAAAACCACAAAATATATATGTATATATGCAATGCATGCTGTGGGTAACAATAATAACTTACAATAATAAGTTCATAACAGCCACTTACTATATATATATAATTCAAATCCCATTTATTGCTTTATTGAGATCTCCACCTAGCAATGAAAGTAGTCCACCACCATGCACTCTACCCTCAGGTACAACAAACTCAACCCCCTTCTCCGAACCCAACTGCTTCGAGTAACTAGAAGACGAAGAGCCCTTCATCGACAAAGGAACCAACACTTGAGGAGGAATCATTAGCCGCTGCCTCTTCGCCTGCCTCTCGACCGACCCTATCGAATCCGATATCACAGTCACACTCGAAGACGAGCAAGTGTTATTCTCGTAGCTGCTCGAGCACACTCCAGCTGGCACCAGCCCGTGGAACAGGCCCGGCCCGATCATTCCTGACCGTTTCACCTCCCGTCCCGAAACCATCGTGCTATGCGCGGCGCACAACCCGCTCTTCCCCCTCGCGAACTTCTCACACTTCCCTTCACCGCCCCAATTGCACCTCTTCCCACCGCCGTGCGCCTTGCAGAAGTCGGTACTGCCTTGAGCACTCTTTCCACAGTTCTCCGATCTGCATCTTTTCCCACCACCGTGTTTCACACAGCAATCTGTTCTTCCACGCGCGCTTTTCGTACAGTCCGGTACAGAACATCTTTTCCCACCGCCGTGGGCCACGCAGAAGCTCGTGCCACCATGAACGCTCTTGGGGCATATCCCGCCCCCGTCAAATAGGCATCTTTTCCCGCCCCCGTGCCCCTTGCAGAGGGGGGTGCTCCCCTCCGCCCCCTTCGTGCACCCGGTGAATATACATCTTTTCCCACCACCATGCGCTTTACAAAACATGGTGCTCCCTTGCGCACCCTTCACGCACCCCAAGAACTGGCACCGCCGCCCCCCGCCGTGGGAGATGCAAAGACCGATTTGCCCCTCCGCGCTCCGCGCGCACCCCTCCACCTTGCACCTCTTCCCCCCGCCGTGCTTGATGCAGAGCCCTGATCGTCCGCGCGCGGCTTTCGTGCACCCTCCTGCGTACCCGCACCGTTTGCCACCGCCGTGGGCTATGCAATGGTCCGTTTTGCCCTCGGCACTTTTCGTGCACCCGAGCTCCTCGCACCTCCTCCCTCCTCCGTGTGCTTTGCAGTAAGCTGTTCGGCTTTCCGCCCCTTTACTACAACCTGGCTTCTGACATCTTTGTCCTCCCCCATGCCCGATACATAGCCCCGTCGCCCCTCTTGCCCCTTTTACACATCCATCGAACTTGCATTTCTTGGTGGTGCCACCTCTTTGATCCGACGACACTGCAGCACTTTCCGGCTCGGATATGGCACTCATGGAGTAGCTCGACACTGCTGAGGGTTGTTCGGTGCTCATCTGAGAGAGGGAGAAGATCTGGCTGGTCTCCATTCTTGGAGCCATGATAAGGCTCCTCATGTAACCGCCCGATTTCTTTGCTGACGTGGAACCCTCGTCGACCACAGGAACAGGTATCGCTCGACGATGAGGTGGTGCTTCGAAACGGGCCTGTGTGGAGGCTGAAAACTCGAGTACGTTCGAGACTGCATCCGATGCACTTCCAGAGAGACCGAGTTTCAGAATCGAATCGCGTTGAGATGAAAGCCCTTTGGCTTTGTTGCTTCTAGAAGGGGAATATTCGTCGGAATATGCACTTGGCGTGGGGCCCAGTCCGAGTACTAACTTGCACCCATCGTCCGGAGTGGTTTTGCATGCACCACTAATTGATTGGCTATACCCAAAGCCGTCCAACCGGAGAGTAGTATCACCGATATTGGTTTTCTTGATGGAGGAATACATCGCGTGTTTGATCTGAGTAATTGAATACCTATACTATTTCTTGAGGAATAATGAAGTGGGCGGGTGGTGAAAGAATACTATACTAAATACTAGTGGGAAAATCGATACAGTAAAATGAAGAGAACAAGAGAAATACGGAAACTACCTCCACCACTCACAAAACCTGATGTATCTGACCTATCCATTCTATCTATTGCTTTGGAGAAGCAGTGGGTGTGTTTATGGAGATGGTGAGCATAATATTGCGTGGGGTGTGGTAAAATCCATTCGAGTGGTACTTGCAAATTCAGCCACGGAGTACGGATTTATTTCGAGTCACCTGCAAGAAAAGAATAAATTAGATCTTGAAATCAAATAGGGAAGAAGAATAAACGAATCCCACATTTACATGTGCATACGTTAACAAAAAAAAACGGTCGAACTATTTGCTACAGAGTAAGAAGATTCTACGACAGTAATAAACGGGAGAAGAAAGTCTGATTGGAAGAACCGACGTACAATTAATTCGAAAGCAGACCTTTAAACAAATAAACACTCGTGTTTGCTCATATTCATGTGAAATTTAACTTCTATTTGGTTCCATAGCAAGCCACTTATAATCTGAGGTCGATACACGGAACTTCGATCGCATACTTTTCCAATCCGCCCAACGAAATAACTAAGATTCAGGATCCAAGATTCAGTTCTTACATGAGGTAATTAGATTAAAGTTCGAACTTGTACTGTATTCATCAATCCAGTCTTAATACAAGAAGCTCAACAATGAAACATGAGATCTGAATATTTTACCAGACCAGAGATAACTAAACAGAAAAAACCTAAAGTCAAACCCCTTGTCTGAATCTTATGACATAATTCATGAGATTAAAAACATAAAGATAAGGCATTCAGAAACCAAATATGCCGTGTTATTTTCTTTTATTTCAACAAAAAGAACAGTAAAACAGAAAAAAAAAATGGAGGAGGCAATTAATCAAACACTTTGAAGGCAGTCTGTGAGTGAATAATCACCGAGCCACCAACAAACCAGATTAAATTAGTACTTTCCATGAAACCAAACTCAGTGAGTGAGACAGCATGTGAAAAGAAATACCCATAAATAGAAACATTTCTGGTAAAATTCTACTATTTCAGACAGATACACACATTAGAGCACAGAATCCACACAAAATCCATTTTCAGCAAAAAATTAAAAAAATAATAAGCTGCAAATTGGATAAACGAGTAGTTGAAATTACCTGACGCAGCAAAATTTCAGCGAAGATGGAAACTTTCTCAGACCATTTTGCAAAACAGCTGCCGAATTTCAATAATAAAGTCTAGAGAGAGAAAGTGGGTTGGAGAACTAGAGAGAGAGAGAGAGAGAGCATATGCATAAATGATATAAAACAACAACCAGTTGAATAGCCACAAAACAAAGCGTAGAGAAAAGGAAAGAAAGAAAAAGAGGGAAATTTATTAAAGATTAATGGAAGAATTAAATAGAGGTGAGAACTTGATTGGGGGGTGGGGTGGGGGTGGGGGGGCACCCACCCCCACCTCCTCTTGATTACCGTTTTGCCCTTGGATGACACAGCAAAACAACTGTTACTCGGAACGATTTTAGGCAGCAAAACCATGATTAAGACAACACATACTTTTGGGTGAAAGGGACAGGCGTTGTTTTGACTATTTTGCCCCTTGTTGAGGGCATGGATTTAGAAATGTTTTTTTTATTTCTATTTATCATATTTTTTCTTGAAAACAAATGTAAACCTATTCATACTAAATCACATCGAGTAATTATATATTTGATTCGATGTTACTCGTTGAAATTTCATTTGGGCTCGATTTAGTAATGTAACGAATCAAGACTGAATGTATATTTTCGTCCGATGAGATATTAAGCTCAACTCTGACTTGAGCTTGATTATTATAAAAAAGATAAAAAATCAACTGGTGTTCGACTCGATAAACTCGAACGCAGTTTTTGAAAGTCAGTAAAAAAAAATGAAAATCAAGCGAACTTGAACAATTGTATGTTCGACTCGACTGAATTCAAAATATCTTATTAAAAAAATGGTTGACAATATGAAATGGGTGTAAATAATATTTATTATTCGTGAAAATAACATTTTAATAATTTTGCAATAACTTGGAAAAAGGAAAAGGAAAAAAAAAATGAATAAGCGTAGTTAATTGAAGGTGTCGGGTCGGGTCGGGTTGGGGGTGACATAAGCAGGTGGGGATGGGAAATAAGTGGCGGGTGTGGAGTTGTCGTGGAGCGCCCTAAGTCAGTTAACCAATAGCAAGCAACTTTTTCTTATTAAAATATCTGCAAATGGAACTCAGCTGGCTAACTGGCTCGGCTCAGTTTGATCATGTATATTCATATTCGCCCCTAATCTTTTAAAATATTGTGCACTTCACCACCTATACTAATATTACCAAATTATTATTTTAATCGAATAAAATAATGATCAATAATGTAGTTTGCATGCTACTACTCCCTTGCCAATATAAAACTATTAATCCCCACACAACTTGAGTTATCCTATAAAACTTTCATTATGTAGTAACAAAAATCATCAAATTTAGTTACGCAGTAACTTACCCTCTTAACTTAACGGTCAACTTATTTTATTGCCAACTGTGTTAGTAGTAACAAAAAATCATCAATTTTAACTTATTTTATATATATATTTTTTTTTGCATTGTGGATAAATATGTTAGATAAATATTTAACATGTTTATTTTTTCAAATATATATTGTATTAAAATAGTTATTCATTAAATATTTATATTAAAAGTTGTAATTATGCAGTAATATTTTTTCTAATGATATATGTTAATAATTTATTGTATTTATTTGCAAATTTAAATTTCATTTAACTTGCCTTTTACATTCAAGATTAACTGTACGAAATTTGATGTTACAAAAATAAATCTTAATTTTTAATATACTTGTTTGATGAGTTAAATAATTCACCCAACATATGAAAAATTATACAATCTAAATATTAATTCTTAACTTAAATATTTAACTAGTACATTATTTTTTATCCAAAACTTAAAAAAAATTAATATCTTAAATATTTATTTAATTTATTCATAATACATGTAATATTTTTTAAATAAAGAAAATGTGTCATTTAGTAGGAATTATTAAAAATAAATTAGATTTGTTTTACTTCTTAACACCGTTAAGAATCAAATAAGTTGACCATTAAATTGAGAGGGTAACTGTAACTTTTATAGTACGAGGGGTAATTGTTACATAGAACATAATACAAGGGGGTAAATTGCATTTTGCACATACTTAAATACTATGATAAAGACTTAAAGCCGATAGATGAGCTGAGAGGCTGAGTGAAGCCTAAGCTGAGCCGGAGCCATGGAGTGTACTGTTTGGGTGTGTGGCAGTCCACCTGTTTCCCATGTCACACGAGGCTGCTTTGCTCCCCATTCGCTGCATTCAGAGCATCTCCAATGGAGAGGGGGGGTTTTCCCCTCCCCTCCCCCTCCCCTCCCCATCCCCCTCCCCCTCCCCCTCGCTCTACCTACGTCGTTTCCAACCGTTCGGTCTTATATTACTTTTTTTCCAATCCCCACTCTCACCACTATAATAATAATAAAATAATAATAACAACCACAACAACAACAACAATAATAATAATAATAATAATAATAATAATAATAATAATAATAATAATAATAATAATAATAATAATAATAATAATAATAATAATAATAATAATTATTAAGATTATGTTGTTATTTCGAATTGAATTAAGTGTTTGGTTTTATTAAGATTATGTTGTTATTTCGAATTTATAATAAAAAGTAAAATAATCGTATTTGTTGTTTTTTCTAATTTTTACAATTATAAAAGAAATATATTAAAAAATAAAATAAAATAAAACCAAATAAAGAAACAAAATAAAATAATAATAAAATTACGAATAAAAATATAATTAAAAGGAAATAATAAATAAAAGAAAGAAATGAAAAAAAAATAAAAGTTTTTTTTTTCAAAGTGTTGATTTTTTTGAAATTATGGGATTTTAAATTTTGTAACTAAATAAATGAAATAAAATAAAATAATGGTTTAATTCTAAAATAAATCCAAAATAAAAAGAAATAAAAATAAACAAATTTGACATGTCAAAAAAAGAAAAGAAAAAAAAAAAAAAAAAAACAATCGGTTAACAAAGAAAAAAGAAAAAAAAAACAAAAAAAAAAAAAAAAAAAAAAAAAGTAAATGGAGAGTGGGCACACGCCCCCTTCCAGCAAGTGAGCTGGAAGGGGGCAGCTCAAGCTAAACACCCCCTCCCCTCCTCCCCACCCATACCCAAGCCATACCCACACCCCCATCAGAGACCGATATTTATTCGTTCGAATCTCGTGGAATACCACGTGGAATATTTTGATTGGTGGAATCTTCAATAATTTTTCTTTGCGTTTCTGGAATCTTACTGCAACTTCTTTTTTTTTTTTATAAATATATATAAATAATTTCCATATGGTATTTTTAATTATTAATACACATTATTTATAGATAAAGTCGTTGATTTGTGAATCCCATAATTGGAATATCGATTTTTTTTTAAATTGTTTGGATATATAATTCATTTTCGTAGGTGGAGGATTTGTGATGTAAATGCAACACTTTTGTGAAAAAGGAATACATTACTTAGAGGGTGTTTGGCTAACTTTATAAGATGTTAAAAGGAGTTTATAAGCTCTTCCAAAGTGTTTGGTAAATTTTAGAAAAATATTTTAATTTCTTTTAAAAATAAGCTGTTGGAAAGCAAATAAGAGGGTGTTTGGCTAAGCTTATAAGATGTTTAAATGAGCTTATAAGATGTTTTAGAGCTTATAAGCTCTTCCAAAGTGTTTGGTAATTTTTTTTAAAAAGATCTTATTTTTTTTAAAATAAGCTGTTGGAGAGCAAATAAGATCTTTTTAAATAAGTACCTCTACCCCACCTTTTTATTTAAGATCTTTTAATGAGTAAAAATAGGAAATAAGCTCATTATCCAAACATTCTAAAAATTAATCCTAAAAATAAGATGTAACAGCTTATCAGCTCTAAAAACATCTTATCAGACGTAAGAGCTTATCAGCTGTTTAAAACAAGCTTAGCCAAACACCCTCTAAGTTCTTTTTAAATAAGTACATCTACCCCACATTTTTATCTAAGATCTTTTAATGAGTAAAAATAGGATATAAGTACATTATTCAAACACTCTAAAAATTAATCCTAAAAATAAAATGTAACAGCTTATCAACTCTTAAAACATCTTATCAGACGTAAGAGTTTATCAGTTGTTTAAAATAAACTTAGCCACACATCCTCTTAATATTATAACTGTTTGAAAATTTATTAACTTATCAATGTGGGATTTTATTCAATTTAAATACCCAACATAATACACTACTAAATTAATTGTCATTTGGCTATGGACAAATCCGTCATTAAATACTCAAAGGCGTTGCTAATTATAATAATTAACGATGTAGAGATTCCGTCTCCAATCCCGTTGCAGAGCACGATATGCATATGAATCTCTTCTAATAAAAAATAATGTAAATAAATATTTATTTTTTTATTTAGTAACGAAGAAATTTGCAGTTAACCATTATTTTCTTTTTTTTTGTATTTGGTAATAAAGGAACCTGAAACCAACTATATTATTGCATTATGTACGTATACACTCTCGGATATTAGTTTACAAACTACACTAGGCTAACAATATAAGACAAACAGAATTCGAATTTGGATCAATTGAAACAAACTCGTATGCTTCAACCGCTGGACGGGGTTAATATAAATTATTTGATTGTACCTATGATGAATATTCTACCCATAATATAAAATGGACACAATGCAATTGGGGAGGGGGGACCACTACTTGATAAAATATTAAATAAATATGAAAAGAAAATAAAATTTAACGAGGCCCATTGTCGTCACAAAGACGTTTTGTTTGTTAGTGAAGGTAGTGGCAAATTGGCAATAGTCTATTATTGTGAATATTGAAATAGTTATGAAAATGCCCATTCTATTGAATTGGCGTCGATTAAATAATAATTACTCTTAAGATTTGATTTAAATTATAAATCATAAAATCGTAATATTATCATAGGTTGTATCTACGCTACACCCATCAATTATCGATCTGATCAACCGATTTTATTAAATATTGAAAACTATTATTGGCACAACTTCTATTGTTAGTTGAAAATAAATCGGTTGATTAGTATTGGTCACTTATTTAAAAAATAAAATTTTAACAATAATAATGAAAATTGTTTAAAAGTTTCTAAAAAGAATATTCAAAATATTGAGACAATCTTATCTTACATAAACTTTAACTTTAAAATTAAGATTTTTTTACTAAATTCCTTCGCAGCGTAAATATATAAAGCTGAATTAGAAAATATAAATAGCGCGTAGGCG